ATCTCTTATCTGTATCTGTGTACATGCTCTAGTCTAGGTAGAACTGAAAGGCAGGACTGGGATCATGATAGTGGGGGGTGAAGAAGCATCAAGGAGCCAGAGGAATATTGTGTGTTTCATCAGTGTTATACTGCATCCTGATCGACTCATCCCTTCCTTGTAACCCTTCTGTGAGGGGATGTCCCATTGTCTATAGATGGCTTTTGGGTCTTCTGATGCCTGTTACCCGATCCTGCGTACACCAGACACCTCATGATCACACAGACTGGGATGCCTCTTCCATGAGGGCTTGTTGCTTCTCTGCTAGATGGCTGCTTGTTTTACTTCAAGCCTTTAAGACCCCAGGTGCTCTATCTTTTGATAGCCAGACACCATCCGCTTTCTTGACCACATTTGCTTATGCACCCATTTTATCTTCAGCGATTGTGCTTGGAGCGTGAGCATCACAGAATGCCAGGTTGTTAGAACAAAGTGTTCTTGTGTTAAGGCATAGCTTGAGCAGAGGCCCAAAGTCCGTCCACTACCTCAGTGTATTGCCATATAAATATATGTACAAAGGCCAATACCTCTATTTTTATTAATTGATGTATTTACATACGTATACACCTGTGTTTATACCTCTATCCATAGCTTTACTTTCTAGATTTTTCCTGTTTCCTTTTACCTTCCTATTGCCCCACCATCACGCTCTCCCTTCTTCTGCCTCTTAGTAATTACTCTCAGCTAGCTTGCTGTTGCTCCAACACCCCCAGGATCTCTATGTCCTCCTCATTGTTGATTTTAATTCATTAGTTGTTCCCCTGTGTATGGCATTGTTTGCTTATAACTCCCTTCCCCCCACCTCTTCTTCTTCCCAAGTCCCTCCGAAACTATTGGTGATGTTGCTTTTTCTTCGAGCTTGCTTCCCATGCCTGTCTTACATAGATAGGTAAAACCAACAATAATGGTGACAAAACAAAAAGAAAACAAAAGATTGAATTTTTTTTTAAAGGGGGGGAAAAACCAATAATAACGGGGGTGGGGGTGGGGGGTGCTTACCTAATTCCAGGTCTGTCTTTTGACCTTTATGACTGTCTTCCCCAGGGGTCCTGGGAATTCCAGGAATTGCCTTTCGTAATCTGAGGTCTATTTTTGGTGCTCCTCAGGGGCTTTGTGGCTTTGATTTGCTCCCATTGTTGATCCATTATGTTCCCTTCTTGGTTTGCTCTGCTGTGGGGGTTTCAGACCGGACTTACTCCCTGCCATGTATCCCCAGTATTGTCCTCTGTTGCTGTATGCTCCAGTGAGGGGCCATAATGTCTCAAGCTGTTGTCAGCCCTGCAGTCCTCTCTGTGCCTTAGCAGCTCCAAGCAGGGTCGTTGGCTTCAGGGCATAGCATGCTGATATGGAGTCTAGACCCTCACTCTTTTTCCTTCTTGATTTGCTTCTGTGTGGTTGTGGCATGCCGACCCCTCTCCTCAACCTGTAGATTTAGTGTTGTCCTCTGTAGCACATACTTCTAGGGAGGGGGTCATTTTGGCTCTGATTGGGGCCGGGCCTGTAGCCCACTCTGTTCATGCATTGTTCCATGCGGTTATGTTGCCCTCAAGGTTTGGTGTGCCATGGTGTAGTCTGCATGCACTCTCCCCCTGGGTGGGTTAGTGCCCTGCTCCCCCAGTGCCATCATCTCTCCCCCTCCCACCCCACCTCAATTTTCTCCCTCAACCTTCCCCTTTCCACTTCTTTGTGTTGGGTTTGGTCTGTCCCCCACCTGACTGCCTGTACCTTAACCCATGTAGTATGAAATCTGTGGCTTTTCTTCTGTACCTACAACGCTGATTATACTTAACTCAAGGGATTCATGTTGTACTTGTCCTTTTGCGATTGGCTGACTTTGTGTAGCATAATTTTCTCCAACTCTTCCCATTAGACCAGGTGCTTCATGCGATCATCAGTGCTTTTTAGTGACGCATAGTACTCCATTGTGTGTATGTGCCAGAGTTTTCTAATCCACTCCTCCGTTGAAGGAAATTTAGGTTGTTTCCAATCTTTGCAATTGTGAACTGTGCTCCAATAAACATTGGAGTACAGACAACTGGTCATGGTCTATTTCTTACTTCTTCTGGGTATATACCCATAGGTTAGTTCAATTTCCATCTGCTTTAAAGATCGCCAGATAGCTTTCCACAGAGTCTGTACATATCTACACAACCACCCGCAGTGGAGGAGAGTTCCTATCTCATCACATCCCCTCCAACATTGTTGCTCTCTGATTTTCTGATTTGGGCTATCCTCAAGGGTAGTAGGCGGTATCTCATGGTTGTTTTACTTTGCATTTCTCAGATGGCTAGTGATTGGAGCATTTTTTCATATGTTTATTGGCCATTCGGATCTCCTCCCTATTGACACTTCTTTTCTGGTCTTTTGCCCACTTCTTTGGGGGGGTTTAACTGTTTTCCTCTTCATGAAGGTTAGGAGGGTATTGTAGATTTTAGTAATAAGCCCTTTGTCTGTTGTGTCATTGCTAAAAATCCTCTCCCAGTCTGTGGGTTCTCTAGTCTTTCAAAGCACGCAGCTATTTTATCCTTAGTATATCCCACTTGTCGATTTTAGGTTCACCTGTATGTGTACCCTATTCCTGTTAGCCTATGTATTTCTTAAGCCAAGGTTCTTAGGTTTGTCCTTATTCCTTTTGTTGATGGTCCCGATAGTTTGGGGTTTTACATGTAGGACTGTGATCCACCTGGAGTTGGTTCTTGTGCATTGGGTAACGTAAGCATCTTGTTTCATTTTTCTACAGGTGAATATCCATTGTTTCTAGCTCTATTTGTTAGAGGGCATCCACCTCCCACATGATGCTTTTTGGGCCCTTGTTGAAGATCAGTTGTCTATATACTGTTGGTTTTATTTCTGTGTTTTCTGTTCTTTTCCATTGGCTTGAATATCTGTCATTATTCTAGTACCATGCTGTTTTGACCACTGTGTCTGTGGTAAGTGTGAAAGTCAGGTAAAGCGAGCCCTCCGACTTTTTCCTTCTTGAGGAGTTTTCTGCAAATTATGGGCTTCTTCCCTCTCCATATGAAATTGGTGGCCAATTTTTCCAGTTCATTGAAGAAGGATGTTGGTATTTGACCTATATAACATTAAACTTATGTAGTAACTTGGGTAAGATTGACATCTTTACTATATTGAGTCTTCCTGTCCACAAGCATGGGGTATTCTCCATTAATATTCTTTTTGTAATTTATCCTTATTGTTGTATATCTAGGTTTTAATTTCATTAAGAATTAATCTATTGTATGACTAATTTATGTGTCCACTACCCTATTGATAAATATTGTGTTTCCATATTTTCATTATTATAAACAATGCTACAGTTGACACATGAATCTGTTTGTATTAACCTGGAAGGTTGCTTATATTTGGGGGAACACAGTTCAATCCATAACATTCCCAGTTTACCCTTATATATATTTATATATGTTGTGTAACCCCTGAAGGAGCCCCAATGCTTTAGTAGGATATCCATGGGCTGTCAACTGCAGTCAGCCACTAGAATCCATTAGCCATTCCTTGAGAGAAAAATGAAACTTTCTGCTCCTGTAAAGATGTACAGTCTCAGAAACCTACAGGGGCAGTTCTACTCTGTCCTGTATACATGTTATGAGTCAAATAGACTCAACAACAGTGGATTTGGTTTGTTTTTTAATATATTTTAAATGTAAAAAAGTCTTAAGTGACATTATATTCTTATGTAGAAGTGTTAATTGTAGGAATGTTTTTGGAGGGATATTTTTAATAACAGCTTTTATTGAAATATATTCACATACACACCATGCAGTTTACCTATTTAAGTGTAGTTCACCCATTTGTACTGTGTTCAGTAGTTTTTATTTTTATTTATTTATTTGTTTTTTTAGTTCAGTTCTTTTTAGTGAATTCACACAAACCAAAAAAACAAACACACTGCCTTCAAGTTGATTTTGACTCTTGGTGACCCATTATAGGGTTTTTGAGGCTGTAAATCTTTATGGGAACATACAAGCCTCATCTGTCTCCCAAGGATCTAAAGTATGTTTGAACTGCCGACCTGTGGTTAGCATCCTAGGACTTCTCCCACAGTACCACCAGGACTCCTTAGTATACTCACAGAGTATATAGTTATCATCACAATAAGTTTTAGAACATTTTCACTGTTCCACTCCCCCTCCCCCCAAAAAACAACACCTTAAAACCTTGCCTATTAGTGGTCATCTCTATTAACCCTAAACCCCCACTAGGCAACTACTACTCTGCTCTCTATATCCATAGGTTTACGTGTTCTGGACATTTTATATGAATGGAATCATACAGTATGTGGTCATTTGTGGTTGGCTTCTTTCACTTAGCTTACTGTTTTTAAGGTTCATCTATGTTGTAATACCTACCAACACTTCATTTCTTCTTATGGCTACATCATATTGTATAGATATGCCATGGTTTTTTTAAAAATCCAGTCATTGATAGACATTTGGTTTGTTTTCACTTTCTGTTATGATTATCCCTATTAGGAATGTTTGTGTGCACATTTCTGTATGGTTTTGTTTCTTTTGAGCATATACTTAGAAGTGAAATTGCTGGGTCATATCTTATATTTAACATTGTGAGGGACTACCAAAACATTTTCCAAAGTAACTATACGATTTTATATTCCAAATAGCAGTATATGAGGGTTCTAATTTGTCCTTTGCCAACACTTAGTATTATGTGGGTTTTAATTTTAGTCATCTTAGTGGGTATGAAGTGGCATCTCAACATGGTTTTTTATTTGCATTTTTCTAATGACTAATGATGTGTATTCTTTTTTATGCTGGTTAATCATTTATGTATCATCTTTAAAAATATATTTGAATTTCTTACAACTCTTTTACCCATTTTAAAATTAGGTAATATTAATTATTGAGTACCATATGTCTTAGTATATTTTTTATCGTATTTCTGTGTTTGTTTATAAGACTAATTTTTCTTTCTCTTATTGGAAGGTCCTGTTCAAAACCCATTGATGTCTTCACAAGTGCCAGCGAGCCAAGGATATAATTCTCAGCGTCCAGCATCCCATCATTTACCAGCAAAGACGGCTTTGAACCCAATTTCTGGACAGTCTAACTATGGTGGTTTTCAGACTGTTTCTCCATTAAGTAATTATCAGGGACCTGGGCAGACTCTTAATAGACCACCCATGGCTTCTAATACAATAACACCTTCACTCCATGGTGGTCCTTTTTCCCGAATGCCACCACCTGCTTTACAGAACTCAACAGCTACACCAATGCCTTCTGGTAGTTTTCATCCTGGAGTCAACCTACCACCACCACCTTTGAATTGGCAATATAACTCTCCACCCGCAGGATCCCAGATAAACCACTCTCCTGCTGGATCAACCCAACCAGCTGGATCTGGGAATACAAATTTAACAACAAATCATCAATATATTTCTTCTGGTGATCCTTCACTTCAAAATAGCTACATAAAATCAGGTAATATTGTTATGTACATGTTGTGTGCTATTGAGATGATTCTGATTCATAGAGACTATACCACTGAATAGAAATACCTTATTGAGTTTCCTGGGCTGTAACTTTTTTTGTTTTTATTTTTAGGTTATCAGAATCTTTATGGTAGCAAATCATTAGGGCTTTTCTTCCACAGAGCAACTGATAAGTTGGTTAGCAGATATCTGTTTTACAAACCCAAGACATACCTGCTTTTGAGTCAGTTCCAACTCATAGCTGTGGGAGGAGGTCCAGTCCCCCACATAGGGCGCCCAACATGGGGCTTGGATCTAGCTCCTTCCTCTATTACCTGCGCTCCATTCAAAGGGACTTGGAGCATGCCCTGCTACATGTTTTTTGGCTGGGTGTTACTTCCAGGTAAATGTCCTCTATTTCTAAACATTGAATGACAATGCTCTGCCCAGTAACTACCTCTATCGCAGCAGGGGCAAAGTCTGGTTTCCTTGGTCTCCTTCCCTGGGTCTTTTCCACTGTGAATTGCTCTGTTGTTTTGTAATATCTGCCTGCAGTCTCTCTTGTAATGTCTCTCTGCTCCACATGTAAAACATCTCCCTTTAGGCCTGGTGTAACTTGCCGAAGCAGCAGCCATGAGGTTGGCTCTGTGCTCATCTGTCTCTACATTGGCAACCACATAGAACATAGTAGAACTGCTCCATAGGGTTTCCAAGACTATAAATCTTCACTGGAATAGAAAGCATCATCTTGTTCCTGAAGAGTGGCTGGTAGTTTTGAACTGCCAATCCTGGTTAGCAGCCCAATGCTAGAGCACCAGGACTCCTTGAGTGCTTCATCTTACTGCCATCAAGGCAATTTCAACTCATAGTGACTCCATATAGGATTTCTGGGGCTGAACAGTTTATGGGGGCAGATAACCTCCTCTTTCTCCACAGACCTGCCAGTTGGCAGTTCAGGACTTAACTCAACAGCACTTCCAGGGCTCGTTTCTTGAGTGATTTGTAGGAGAGCTTAACGTATAGAAAAGTGAAACTTTAGCTTGCTTAGATGCTTGAGTTAACATTTCACATTTTAGATCCATGTGAAAAAGTATTCATTTAAAAATCTTTGTCCATCTTTAAACATTATTTCTTAACCTTTACACAAATAATGTAAATTCATGGATTGCGCATGCTGTGTTTCTTTCCTTTGATCTTCTGTTTTTTCTTTGAATCATGAATGATATTTCAAGAATTCGTGAAGAACCATTTCCTTGGGGACTAATTTAATTTTATTGACTGGGTTTCATCTTATATGCTAGGGAAGCTGAATCCCAGGGGTCTCTCCTTCATCTTGATCGAAGGCTTAAGTTATCTTTTTCACGTGGCTATTAATAGTTTTTGTTCACAGAAACTTCAGGATCCTGGAGCATGGGTCAGAACAGTGCTTTTGGAGATTAGAATGTTAGTAACCACAACTAGAGTCAATAAAAGGAGCACTAGTGGTACATTAATTTAATTGGTTCAAACCCACCAGCTGTCCCACAGGAGGAAGCTGAGGCTGTCTGCTCCTGTAAATATTTAAATTTTTGTATATGGTGTTAGGTAGAGGTCTAACTTTTAAGATTACTTTTTGCACATGGCTGTACAATTGTCCTAGCACCATTTGTTGAAGACTGTTCTTTCTTCCATGTAATAGTCGTGGTACCCTAGTCGAAGTCAAAATCGACCATAAATTGATGAGTAATTTTGACTTTGAATTTTATCCTGTTCATCTGTTGTCTGCCTTTATGCCAGTCTTGATCACCTTAGCTTCATCATAAGCTTTGGATTTGGTAAGTCGATTCTCCCACATCATTCTTGTCCAAGATTGCTTTGGCTGCTCTTGAGTCTCTTGCAGTTCCCTACGAATTTTAGGGTGAGCTGGTCTCTTTTAGAGAAAAAGGCACCCAGGAAGTAAGTCACGTCTACATGTGGAGCAGTTTGGAGAGAAAGTTATATATTCTTGTCTGACTTTGGTAATTTCATTTTTTTTAACCATTATAGTTGGTTCAGAAATTAATTCACTTAATCATTTTATTTTTCTGTGTTTGTGATTAAAATTAGCAATGCTTTACTTATCGACATCAGTAGTGTTAATTTGAAAAGTTTCCTGCCCAACAGGCATGCTGAAGAAAATGAATTAGTAAAAGCTTCTAAGTGAAATAGCAGTATCAGTAATTACCTTTCAGTAATTGTATGTGCTTCTACAGTCATACAGGCATACCTCAGAGATATTACCCATGTGGTTCCAGCCTTCTGTGATAAAGTGACTATCACAATAAAGGGAGGCTCATGAACTTCTTGGCTTCCCATTGCATATAAAGACTGTGGGTATGCTGTGGTCTTTTAAGTGTGTAATGAAATTACAAAAAAATTTTAAATATTAATGAGAATTACCAAAATGTGATACAGATATATGAAATGAGCACATGCTGATGGAAGAATTGTGCCAATAGACTATATGCAAGTTGGAATAAACTTTCCATTTGTACAAAATGTCATGTCTGCAAAGTTCAATAAAACAAAACAATAAAATGACAAATTCTTGTATACTGCATATACTCTTATCAAGCTTGTAGTGAAACTACGGTGCAAGTCTCCTAACCAGTGACTGGCCTTAGTAAATGTCTGTTCTTTTACATTTTGGCCTCATAAAGATTAAAACAGCTTCTTCTTCTTTTTTTTAAACAGCTTCTTGAGGAATGTAATCAATATCACTGAATTATACATGCAGAAAATATTGAAAGATTAGGGTTGCTTTAGAAACTTAGTTTCTTTCTAGAAATCTTTTTATCTGTAATTGCTAGACTGAGGAATCTATTAAGTTACATTTGCTCTAATTCATTTGATACCATGAATGAATATCAACCACTTTAGATGAGTGAATATTTACTTTAGTAATAATAATTATAGTTAGTATTTATTGAACCCTTACCAATTTCCAGCATTCTACTAAACTTATCTATGTGTTACCTTTTTTAATCTTTACAACAATTTCTGTTTATAGATAAGAAATATGAGACTTGAATAATTTGCACAAAGCAACAAGGAAAATAGTTTGGGAAACGATACTATTTAAAAGTAGGTATAAAACTCAAACCCAAACTCACTCACATTAAGCAGATTCCGATTTATAGCCGCCTTATAGGATAGAATTGAACTGCCTCTGTGGGTTTCGGAGATTGTAACTGTTTGAGAGTAGAAAGCCTCATCTTTCTTCTGAGGAGTAGTGACTGGTGTTTTCGAACTGCTGACCCTGCAGTTAGCAACCTAACAAGTAACTACTGCGACTCCAGGGCTCTGAAAAATAGGTATAGCTGGGGGCAGGGTGGGGTAGTGTTGAGGTGTCTAGGTTTAGCTTCTCTTAAAAGGACATGAGAAATCAGCTCATTGAACCATTACATTTTTTCCTTTTTTGTTATTTAAATTAGTGATTTTTTTATATACTTACTGATCTTTGTAAGGTAGCTTTTAAAAATATTTAAAATTCCATATTGAAATCTGCATGATTCTGCTCAGCAAATATTCTCATGGAAATGACGCTTATGCTATAATAATCTGACTTTTTTGTTGTTGTTTTAAGTTTAATCTAAACGACTTGTAATTTTTTAAAATCATTTTATTGGGAATCTGACATATTCTTTTTGGCTATGACCCAACCCTCAGGGGGAACATTTGGACTCCAGAACAGATGAAGAGCGATGTAAGCAAGTCTGATTTCTATATAATAAGGGGAAGAGAAAGATACATAAACGAATAAAACAAACCTAAAATAAACCCATGTCTCCCTTTTTTTATTCTTACACGAGACTTGAACCCAGAAAAATTAGATTGTGCTCTGCTACCACTGCAACTGCTCCCTAAGGATCACATTAAAAGGTTCTGGATAGAGTGGGAGTCAAATGTGGAACAAACCCCACCATCTTAAAAGAGACTAGACTTACTGGATGCAGGGTGATTGGAGGAACCCCTAAGACTGGTTGGTCTTCAGTCACCCTTCAGGTCTGAAACTCTGTTTTCAGCTACACTATAGGCCTGTAAGAAGAACAATAACCTAGGAGGTACTCACACTTTAGAACAATCAACCATTTAAAAAAGAAAAGAAAAGACAAGTCTACCCAAGGACAAAGTTCAGGGGGTTAGGAAAGAAGGAAGAATGGAAATGAACTATAGGTGGAAGTAGGATAAGCTATGGCACTTCACTGTGTCAATTCTGTTGTCCTTTAGGACAGGGTAGAGTTCCTCATGGGTTTCTGTGCCTGTGAATCTTTATGGGAGTAGAAACCTGCATTTTTCTTCCCCTGAGCAACTGGGGTATCAAATGCTGACCTTGCAGTTAGCAACCGAACCCACTATGCTGTCAGGATTCCTTGATGGGAGGGGATTGAAGGGATTGTAATAGGTGAGTTGAAACAAAATGTGTATGCATAGTTTAATGTAAAACTGATGGTCTGCTTCATAAACTTTCACCCAATTCATAATTAAACGTTAAATAAATAAATAAAATGTGGAAAAATTCCATTAACTTTCCATTCTAATTTTCTTTCTTTTTTTAAAAACAATTGTATTGGCACTCCATCCATGTTATATAATTCAGTAATTCAATCATATAAAGAAAAGTCATACAGTTGTCACCACAATCTATTCTACAACATTTTCTTCTTCTTTATACGCAGTTATTCATCTAATTATATTTTTCTAAGTGTAGCAAAAATATACACAACAAAACATTCTCCAGTTCCACAACTTCTACATGTATAATTCAGTGCCATTGATTATACTCTTCGTGTTGTGCAACCATTATTGATATCCTTTTCCCAATTCTTCCACCCCCATTAAGATAAACTCAGTGCCCCCTAAGCAAAAACGCTTCCTCCTTCACCCATGGTCACCATTGGGGTTTTTTTAAGTAGTTTTCTTGATATAATATTCACATATCTTACACCTCCATATTTAAATCGCTTTAAAAAAAACTTTTTATGATTTAAA